CACAGGAACAGAGGGGTTGAGGGCCCTGCTCAATGAGCTTACATGCTAGAGGGAGTGGGTAAAATGACACAAAAAGGTAAGGATAGTATTAGACCAGTGACAGTTGCAGAAGAGGAATCATGCAGCTCTAATTACAGCTCTTCATACCCTGATCAGCCACAACATTAAAACCACTTGCCTTGTGGAGGACCGAAGGTGTACAGTCCCTAGCTAGTGGACCAGCTGCTAATTGGAAGCTAGATGGGGCCACGAGAGAGGGAATAGCCGAGCTGCTGAGGGTGTGACTGGAGACACGTGGGCCTCCTCTTCATCCTCTTCTTGCTCTACCCCTTCACCCTGCTAGAGCCCAACAGAAGACATTAGGGAGGGCCCAAGGGTGGTCTTGTTGATAGACGCAGGACGGCCGGGCTTCTACAATTGTCCACGAGACTATCTTCTTTTCACTATCTTCATTCCTTCTCTTTATCTTTTTTCTACCTCCTTTGAGGTATAGAAGCTACACTTAAGGTGGGAACAAGATAACTGACTGCTCACACGGCATCAATGACCCACAGACGAATGCAAAAGTGAGCCATAATGTGTTAGGACTGATGCGTTAAGTCAACATTAGAGTTCTTATGTCTAAGTTCCTTTTGTCCATATAGGCATTTTAAACAATATAAAACTCAAAATGTGACGATAGCAACTAACTGGGGGCCTACGGACTTGGAAACGTGGTTACATGTATATTATGTTCAACAGATGCCTGTGTTAGATATAGTTTTGTATTATGAAGGTCTTGATATTATTGTATTTGAATGTAATCACTGATTATGCTATTGGTCACACAAAAATAGAAAAAAATAAAACCACTTGCCTAATATCATGTAAAATCCCCTTGTACTGTCAAAACAGCTCTGATGTGTCTGGGGGTGAACTCCTCAAGAACTCTGAACATGTCCTGTCTTTTCTGGCACCAAGACATTAACAAGAGATCCTTCCGGCAAGTTGCGAGTTGGGGCCTCTGTGGATTGGATTTGTTGATCCAGCACATACCATAGATGCTCAATCGGATTGAAATTTGGTGAATTCTTTGTCATGTGCCTCAAACCATTCCTGAACAATGTTTGCAATGAGGTAGGGTGCATTATCCTGCTGAAAGAGGCCACTGCAATCAGGGAACACCATTGCAATGAGGGTTGTGGTCTGCAAATAATCTCTAGGTATGTGGTATGTGTCAAAATAACATCCACATGAATGCCAGGACCCAGGGTCTCCCAGCAGAAAATTGCCCAGAGCATAGCACTGCCTCCGTTGCCCTACCTTATTCCAAAAGTGCGTTCTGCTGCCATCTCTTCCATAGGTAAATGATGCACAAGCACCCGGCCACCCACCCGATCTGAAAGAGAAAACATGATTCATCAGACCAGGCAACCTTCTTCCATTTCTCATATCCCCATTGTACACACTTATTGCAATGGACAGGGGTCATCATGGGCACTCTGACGGGACTGCATCTAACCAGTCCCATATGCAGCAATCTGAGATGCACTGTGTGTTCAGACACCTATCATGGCCAGCATTAGGTTTTTCAGCGATTTAACCTACATTAACTCTTCTGTGTGATCGAACCAGGCAGGCTAGCCTTCACTCCCCATGTACATCAATGAGCCTTGGGCACCCATACCCCAGAACCCGGTTCACCTCTTGTTCTTCCTTGCACTACTTTTGGTAGGTATTAACCACTGAATTCTGGGAACACCCTAAAAGACTTGCCGTTTTTGGAGATGCTCAGTCATCTAGCCATGGTTTGTCAAAGTCACTCAGATCTATTTGCTTGCCTATTTTTCCTGTTTCCAACACATACATTCAAGAACTGACTGCCCACTTGCTGCCGAATATATCCCACCCCTAGACATGTGCTACTGTAACAATATAAGCAATGTTATTCACTTCACCTATAAACGGTTTTAATATTGAGGCTGATCAGCGTATATCTTGAAAGAGATTTCTTAAATTTCACAGCAGATTCACATTATTTTGTGTACACTGCGGGGCACTCAATGCACTCAAACATAAAGCATTGCATTACAGAGTTTCACAGCAATAAAACCCAGAGGATAGTCCATATTTTGGGCCCAAATCCCTCTACCCCTTTTGTTCTCATAATGTCCTTCTTTTCTCAGACCTACATATTGTTGGTGTGGCTGAGTGTATACCAGAGCTACACAGCAAAAATACTCGGAGTAAAGTGTCTTTAAACTACAATATATGTGTTCAGAAATCAGTCTGTCTAAAAAGGATACATTGTTCTAATTACATTTTAGTTGCATAAATTGTTATTAGTAAATCACCTTCAATTTCTCTGAACAGCCAGCCCCTGGCTACATCCCCACTCACACCCCTAAAATAAAAGTTTCCCTCTCTGTCCATTTGAAATGTTGGGATGTGTGAGGTAGTGGTATTTTATGGGTTGTAAATACATTTATTAACTCTATCCACCCTTTTTGCATCCTTCCACATTTTTCTTCTCTCCATACCTCTTAACTATTTTTGTTTTCTCCTGCCTCTCTGCTCCTTGTCTACCATGACTCACTTTTATTTTTACTATAGTATATACTACTTCTTTAATGGTTTAGCGTAGCTGAGCTATGCTGTGATGGCCTGCTTTCCTTGCTGGTTTCTTCCCTCTGCCTAGTGGAGGAACTAATGAGCAAAGAGCCCAGGTGCACTCATAACCCCACCTTCCTCCCTACCCCCTACACCAAGTAAATAAATGGATAAACTTTGAATATATGTTCTCACAAATCGGTATCCATGTTTCCTTGCTTTTTTTCATTTATTCAAGTTAAACAAAAAATATTATTGACAAACATGCACAAAGGCACAAATATACACACAACAAAGCACACAATCATACATGCAGAAAGACGTAATTATTCAGGTGCATAATCATACAGACATAGACATGCAGGCACACAATCACAAATACCTACAGTCAGAGTCATACAATCAGACACAATCATATAGGCACACAGCCCCAAAGATCTACAGTCATCACATAATCATACAGATGTAGACACAAGAAGAAACAAACTTATAGACACACAATGATACAAGCAAACAGACATAGTAATTCATTCAGACAGAGATATCAAGACACAACGATATACAGGCACATATTCATAAAGGTGTACACCACAGTGTGTCCTGGCCTACCAACAGTCCTGCTTTTGGAAGGACGGTCCTGATTTTGGGACCCTGTCTCACTTTAGTTCCCTGATGTCTTCATAGCCACTTGTGCTGTGCAGCAGTCATTAGGATCATGCAGAGATCGTTTCTGTTTGCCCAGAAAGTCTTATTTCATTCATGTAGGGTCAACAGTGGCCATATAGTAAACACTCAGAAAGAAGACTAACAGAAAAGTTGTTTGGTAAAACCATTAAAACTTTTATTGTATTAATACCTGTATTGTTTTAATACAAACATTTACACCTTTCATACAGAGCCTTTGAATGTGTTGCTCCATTCCCTTTTAAAGTTATCTTAAAGATTTATCAAATTACATGACAATCTGGTTCGTTCTAGCCAGGCCAGCCACTGCAAATGAGGTCAGGAAATAGAAAAACAGTCAGGGTTTAACTAAAAAAACATGAATTGAATTTAACTAAAAAAACATGAATTGCAAAACTAAGGTGGAAATAGTCAAGCTGTGACCAAGTTAGATCATTAAGATTAGCCTCATTTTTGCCATTTGAATTTAAATTGCTATAATTCAGTGTTTAGTAAATAACTGATTATTTCATTTCTCCTCTTCCATGTATGTTTTATCTTTGTTGAATGCCAGGTACAAAGACAGAGCTCATAATAACGATTGACGGGGATTGAAGATGATGGCACCAAGACGTAGGCTAAAAAGATGCAGATTTCTACATTTAATTTTATTTTATATACTTCGCATAAGAATATTTATTCAATACATGGTATGAGTATATATTACTAAAAATTACAAAACCACGCTTTTTATGGTGCTTAGTGTTCCTTGAGCACCTACTGTTATTTCTGTTAGAGTATTTAGTGGCTGTGATTTGTAAAGAAAATGTTGGCGCTATAAGACAGCCTACCAGGGTTGTCAATCAGGCAGCAGGAACACTCAATTCCAGATTGCCTGATCAATTCTTTCCATAATGTGTTACTTTGTATTGGACATACTCTTATTTGCATGTCTTCACAGCTCTGCAGAATATATTGGTGCCTTATAAATAAAATGAAAAATAGCATTCAGCATTTAACAAGAGCACTTAAATCGGCTTTGTCACCCCCTCCCCATCCAAAATTAGTATTTCATTAAGATAAAATATTTATGAAACACTCACATTGACTGTGTTGGAATCACACGGTAACTTTGTCTTAGTATTTTTCCTATGCTTTACAAAAGTGAAGCTACCTCTGTCTCTGTTGGATACCATGATCTCCCCAGATTCCCCATAGACCTCAGTATGTAGTACAACCAATGTGAGTGCCAGGAGCAGAAGAGGACCAATAGGAAAAGATGGCGGTGGTCAGAAGCGATGGGTTCAGGAAAGTATAACTCGCCTTCCCCCGCACGGTTCCTTGACCCCACACTGCCAGCGTAGAAGTCACCATCTGAGGTCTTTGCAAACTGCATATGGCGACAGAGATGCTATAACCTGTATTTGTGATATCTGAAAAGGGAGCTGGACTGCAGGCCGCAGGGGACACGGTTAAGTGTTAAATTACTTGAACACAGTTTGCCTGTTTAGTGTGGAATAGCGTCAGAGTTCTCCCGGCACCAAAACCACTATTCCATTTCCTGCTCACTGGTGAAGTCTATGGAACGTTATGTATAATATAAACTCTGTATTACAGGTGTAATGCAATCTGTAACCACAAGATGTCGCCAAAGCATTACATTTTATTTTTTGTATTAACCTCCAAAATTAATCAGAATATACATTGTATAATAAACTGAATGCACATGTAAATACAGGTTATTTCAGCTCAGAGGTGGCAGAATCAAAGTCTGCCAGACGGAAATGGCCGGAATGCGGATTACCATGGTAACGGAATGCCTGGCTATGGGCGACGGAAGTGCGGCCTGCAGAGCCTGGCCAGGACATGGCGGCCCCCTCTCCCCGGGCTGGGGTTACTGTGCTCTCCCCGCAATGCTGCCTGCTCGCCCTGCTCGTGTCCCAGGCCCTGGCCGATCTCGGAGAGTTCAGCCCCGGGCAGTCCGTGGGATCCCTGCCAGTGGGAGCTGCCGCACAGGAGAGGAGGTATAGGGGGGAGTGTGGGGACGTGGCAGCTCTCAGCAGCGGCCTCCTATCTAATACTTCCCCCGTCTAATACTCAGCCACCCCCGTCTAATACTCAGCCACCCCGTCTACTCAACAGCCCCCTGTCTAATACTCAGCCACCCCTGTCTAATACTCAGCCACCCCTGTCTAATACTCAGCCCCCACCCTGTTAATACTCAGCCGCCACCCCCTCCCCGTCTAATACTGCAGATTGTTCTGTAATTCTGGGAGTACTAACATATTTTTGTATTCACTAAGTTTCAAAAATTTGCAATTTAATGTTTTCACATATTTAAGCTATTAAAGGAAATTACTATGTTGTTCTGGGCTACCTAATGTCAGTTCTCTGACTGTACTTCCTCCTAGAATATTCAATTTTTTTTAATGAAGATCTCCCTATGAAATGTGTACATATGGAGATTAACTCCTTTGCCTCATTAACCTCATTAGTCAGCATGCAACAAGAGTTCCGGGCTGGCTAGTATCAGTAATGTGCAAAATTGGTGTGTCATGTCAGCATGCATGGCCACACTGGTGTACATACCGCGGTCGCAGCTGCAACCGGGCCCGGCCCACCAGGGGGCCCGGCCGCACTGCGACCGGGTATGTAAGCGAGTTTGCCAGCCTCTTCTCCTGGGGGGCCTAGGAGCTGGCCACCTCAGGGCCCCCGAGGCTGGCAGTGCTGTCTGCGGCTCAGTAAGCGGCGCGCGAGGGAGCTGGGCAGAGAGCGCTCAGGGGAGAATGCTCCCTCACGCGCCCACAGTGACCGGCCGCCCAGCATCACATTTCCAAACGTAGGGAGGCTGGGGGATGCAATTTAAAAAAAATAAAAAAAATATGAGTCTGTGTGTATATGTGTGTTAGTTACTGAGTGCATTAGTTGTGTGTCTGTTATTGAGTGTGTGTCTGCTAGTGTGTTAGTTTGTGTGTGTGTGTTACTGTGTGTTAGTTTGTGTGTCTGTTATTGAGTATGTGTCTGCTAGTGAGGGTCAGTGTGTGTGTGTTAGTGTGTGTGTCTGTTACTGAGCTAGTTTGTGTTTGTCAGTGAGAGTGTATGTTTTGTAAGTGAGTGTCTCTGTCAGTGAGTGTGTATGTATGTCTGTCATTGAGTGTGTGTCTGTTAGCTAGTGTGTATGCGTCTGTTCGTGAGAGTGTGTGTGTGGTCAAAACCCCTTCAGCACTTACCTTTCTCCAGCGTCGGGCTCCCTTGGTGCTGGGGATCTCTCCGCCCCAATCCGCCTCTCAGCTCCTCATGCGCATGCGCGGCATTCAAACCATTCATAGGAAAGCATTACTCAATATTTCACAGTGAGAATCGCAGGAGCGCCTCTAGCGGCTGTCAGTGAGACAGCTACTTGAGGCTGGATTAACCCTCAGTGAAACATAGTAGTTTCTCTGAAACTGCTATGTTTTCAGCTGCAGGGTTAAAACTTGAGGGACCTGGTTCCCAGATCCCTTCATTGAGCTGAAGTGATCTGAGTGCCTATAGTGGTCCTTTAAGTGTATGGATCTGCATGCAGTGGCGTACATACCTTGGTCGCCGGGGTCGCAGCCGTGCGACCTGGTGCCCACCGCCATGTGTTACGGCCCCGGCCTGCATAGAGTAAGCGCACGGGGAGGAGTGGGGGGCCCACAGATCAATTTTCTCACCGGGGCCCCATGGATCGTGTGTATGCCACTGCATAGCCACCTGTGTAATCCCCACAGTCCTCCCTCCCTGACCTTCCTACCCCTCTGGCGAGGGGAAGTGATGTAGCTAAGGATGATTTGGCTGAGGGGAGATCTTGGCCTCTGCGATGGAAAGGAGGTGAATTTAAACTCTCTTCTTTTTTGGGGTAGGGTACCACTACAGAAAGGGTTGCTCTAACTAAAGCCAGTGTTTTTATATAAGCACTGTTTTTGTGTTGGAGTAACCCTTTAAGGGGTGAATGAAGTGTAGACAAAACTGTATATGGCAGATGTAGTCAACTATTTATTCTTATACTTTGATTATAAATATTTATTTTGTTTGCCTTGTAGGTACTTGTTGTATGATGTGAATCCTCCAGAAGGTTTTAACCTGCGCAGGGATGTATATATTCGGATGGCCTCACTTCTTAAAACCTTACAGAAAAGTGAAGACTGGGTGCTAGTCCTTCCTCCCTGGGGTCGCCTTTATCATTGGCAGAGTCCTGACATTCACCAGGTTCGGATTCCATGGGCAGAATTCTTCGAACTTAAAAGCCTTAACCAAAACATCCCTGTTATTGAATATGAAGATTTTTTGGCAGGTAAATTTACAATTTGTGTATTTTTTTATTTTATTTATTTTTTTAATAATTATTATTATTTTGGATTTGTTTTGTAGCTTTGACTAAATAAACACATCTTTGCTTCACGTACTGAATAAAGTACACAGTACCTAGAATATGGTGAGATAGCCTGGTGAATTAGAAGTCCAGCTGTAATATCTCTAGTAATTTTTTTTAAACTTCAATGTCAAAGGTGTGATTCTCAACTGAGTAATCTCGGACTTTTATCCTCCTGAGATTGCTAAAATTAATATTGTAAAGTTTGATAAGGTCTATAGCCCCAAATCCTATTTAAAAACTACTGAAATGTTGTTTTCTCCCGTACCTGCTTGAAAAACAACTTCTGTAAAGTGGGATATCACAGCAAATTAAATATTAGGCTAAACACTCTCCACTAGAGTTAGGTGACTTGGGAGAGTTTTTCCAATTTTGCTACTTTGAATTAAAATGTAAAATTAGTGACAATTCATTGTTTATTTAAACAGTGCTGTCCTTTTTCAGTTCTAAATCTAACAGCTCCCAGTCTGATCTCTTAAACATATTCATTTTCCAGAATCTGGAGGTCCCTTTATTGAACAGGTTTATGTCTTGCAAGGCTATGCAGAGGGATGGAAGGAAGGGACGTGGGAAGAAAAAGTGGATCAGAGAACATGCATAGATCAGCTCATGTACTCTGAAGACAAACACGGATACTACAGGTAGCAGAATGTTATATTGCGTGTTTCAGAGTAATGGGTGAAAACAAAAGATGAAATGTATATTTTGCAGTAAGTTTATAGAATTGAAGGTTGTGGAATGCTCACTGCTAATTAGATTGCAAACAAAGTTGATTAAGCCTGATAATTCATGCCATCGTGGAAATATTAGGTTGAATGCAGTCCTTTAAAATATGTTTTTTAAGTTTTGATATTAAAATTGTGATTCTCATGGAATCAATTAAACTAATAAGTTATATGTTGCATGCATAATAGGGAGGATGTCAAGAGGAGAGGTGAGCTGCACACTATGCATGTGCAGTTTGAGGATTTGCAGATGTATAAACAATGTAAAACATACAAAAGAATATGGCTTATGTTTCAAATGTCGGTTATCAACTCCCTGATAGCCACTGCATTGTGAATAAAGCTCTTGTTTGTTCTGTTAATTGAAGTCTTAAGCCATAAATTAAAGTTTTTAAATATTCGGGCCGAAACTAATTTCATCTTGTTCTATTGTTATTTTAGAGGCTGGTTTTGGGGCTACGAGGAGACAAGAGGTTTAAATGTCACATGCTTATCCGTACAGGGCTCCGCTTCTATTATGGCCAACATACTGTTGAAGAACACAACAGCAAGGTGAGGAGTAAGACTCACTAATTATTGTAAATAACAAGCATCTTCAACAGAGACTAAACAATAATATAGTTATCTCCACTTCTTATAGGACCATAATGTTAGACAGAGCTGAGAACCTTCTACATGATCACTATGGGGGCAGAGATTATTGGAATGTACGTACGTAAGTAATTCCCTACTACCCCAGTATATGTTGATCACAAAGTAGAAATTATAATATGGCCAACAGCATGCACTAAAGTTGAGTTATTCCTGTCCTGACCACCAGTCCCACCAGAGGGACTTGCATTACAAATATTGATAGCCTCTCGGATAGAAAATTATCCCTCTCTTAAGCAACTACATCTTAAAATGAATAAAACCCTTAACATGAGTAGCTTTTTATTCCTCAACATATCACACAGACATAATACAATATGTCTTAAAGGATCACTACAGGGTAAGGAACACAAACATGTATTCCTGATCCTATAGTGTTAAAAACACCATATAGCCCCCCTGCCCACCCTTACTCCCCTGAACTTAGTAAAATCTTTCCTTTATACCAGTCTGCTGGTGCTGGCTCTGCCCCTGATCTGCCTGCTTGGCTGACATGAGAAGTGATGTTCTGAGCGAACCACAATGCTTTCACATAGGAAAGCGTTGGATTGCCTGAGCTTGTCAAGGAAGCAGATCAGGGTCAGAGCTAGCAAAGCCAAACACAGCCCTGGCCAGTCAGCATCTCCTCATAGAGGAGAAAGTTCAGTGTCTCCTTCCAGAGGGTGGAGATACTGAATGTCAGTCACACTGTGCAGCACTGCCCCAGGAGGCACCTCTAGGTGCCAACTGAGGAGTGGCCAGTGGAGGTATCCCTGGGCTGTAATGTAAACACTGCCCTTTCTCTGAAAAGCTTGTAGGGAATGATTATACTCACCAGAACAAATACAATAGGCTGTAGTGTCAATTTAATTATTCACATTATGTACTTATGTGTATTCATTACAAAATAATATACATTGGCTATATTCCTTGTCTTATTTTCAGTACTAGTAAAAGATTGTCAGGTTTCCTTCGAGGATCATTGATACAAAATGCAATCTTCTCAACCTGACCAAGGGAGAACTTATGCCAGCATGAACTAATGTAATGTATCAACAGCTGTACAGAGTCTGCTAACATCATGAGAAGTGCATTCAGTATCAGAGTTCCTAGATTTTAAAGCCCCCAAAAACTGAGCTAGAAAAGCAGTTGTTAGAAATTGTCCCTCCCTGGTTTGTCCATTTTGTTCTATAGTTTACAGTGCTCTTGTTACTTTTCTACAATTCAAGTTAAAGAATAATATTCAGCTGTATTTGCAGACAGGCCTTTTCATGCTTTTTTTTTTTCTTCTCAATTCAGGCACGCCGCAGTATGGTTTTTGCTCAGCATCTGCGAATAGTGGGGGATGAATTTCGTGCCAACGTCCTGCGATCTAATGATGAGGCTGACAAGACCATATTTGTTGAGGATTGGACAAGAGTAAAGGTGATGCATGTTACATTCTTATGACAGAAAACAGTCTTGTAACTTGAGTAAAGGGTTAAGAATGCAAAATGGTTTGAAATTTTGAAGAAGTAAAAAAAATAAAATGTATTAATGTTTTTATGTACATATTTTCTTTTGGTGGAGAGGAGCACGTGTAATAAATTTTTTTTTTTTATTGTTTTTTTTCATATATATATATATATAAACATCAAAGCAATATCTCTTGTTCTACAGAAAGTGTTAACTTTATACTGGCAAACAGAGGAAATATGTTATCTTCTTTCCAGGCAAAGCCAAACATGGCATTAGGGGGACCTTACCTTGCTGTCCACCTTAGGAGGAAAGACTTTATTTGGGGCCACAGAGAGGATGTGCCTAGCCTCCGGAAAGCAGCCGAAGAAATTCACAGCCTTTTGAAGAAGCTGAAGCTCAAAAAAGTATTTGTAGCCACAGATGCTGACCGAGGAGGTACCATTTGTTATCTCAGTACAATTTGTTTCCCATAGACCACAGTTCCTCATTGTTCAGCTTTTGTGGCTCCTCACTGATCGCTCACAGTAAGTCACATGATGCACCCGTAGCACATGTCCCACCTGCAGAAAGCAGTATTCACAACTGCTGCAGCCTTTCAAGGGGATGATATAGTAGTGATTGCCCAGGCAGTGGCATAGTGAGCCAGCTCAGGAGCCACTAATCTTTGCACACAGGCACTGTGCTCTGTGTGCAGAAATAAAGATGATGTATGACGTGACGTATATCCCCATCCCATCTACAGAGCAGAGTGCAGATTCTTTCTGTATGCCTTCATGTAGATCAACTCCCATCCCACTCAGCCACACTACCAAGTACACAATTTCATTTTAAATATATTTAAAAAAATACTAACAAGTAATACATTTTTAATTAAGGTAATGATGTCAAGAGGAGGGAGGGTGACACAAAAGAGAAATAAGTAAAGAAACAAGGTAAGGAGAGAGTCTTCAGGGGGATATGAACTGGGAATATCAGACATTAAGCCCGTCTGAAAAGCTCTATGCTAATATTTCAATGTTGTCTGCATTGTTTGTTTAACCCCTTAAGGACCAAACATCTGGAATAAAAGGGAATCATGACATGTCACACATGTCATGTGTCCTTAAGGGGTTAAATGTTATGCTTTCTATAGGAAGAAATTAACTAAACTAGTAGGCCACATGAATTTGGGGTAAATGTGACTGTCCTGTTTGCTTTCTCTTGCCACGTTGGCTCCTTTGGTAATATAGTATGTGACACTACCCTACATTTATGTTTGTAATGTAATCTCCGGCACTTTGGCTTTTAAAATGATCTAAACACAATATATTGTATCTTCTTGGCATGCATTTGAGTCCATCACAGAAAGCAATTTCCACAGTTTGACATGATCTGTCCTTCACGCCTACTCCTACGAATAATAATGTTCAAAATTTATTCATGAAAATGATCGCTTGAAAACCTTTCAAATCTTTTTTCACCATAGATAGCAACCTTAAATGTCTCTAATTTCCAAGCACAAATCGTGCTTCTATTTTAAATATGAGCAGAATATCTCCACTACACTAATAATTTAGCACTAAGTCATAAAAAAAAAAAAAGACATGTGAGACGATAAAAATAGCAGTCTGTTTTGTGGACAAATTTACCTATGTACCACTGATGTTTCATCTAAGCATAATCCTTGATCCATTTTAACCATTTGTAATTACACATGGTCCCTTGTGTTATAACAGCTAGTGTTTATGTACAGATATTCAGCCGCTGTCACTTCTGGTTGCATTCCTTATTTTGTTGAATCTTCGCTTATGTTTGTTGTCCACACTAATTTTGGCAAAACTTACCTTGTATTTAATTAAAAATATTAATTGAAACTTGTCTGACCCAAAAAAAGGAAAATGGAAAAATAAAATAAAGAACATTCTTAAAGGAACACTATATTGTCGGGAAATTCAAACATGTACTCCTGACCCTATGGGGCCCTCTCCCCTCCCCCTCCAAGCCTCCTTAAAAAAGGTTCAAACTTGCCTTTATTGCAGCGCACCCTTGCTCTGACTCCTTGGCTGAGATCATTAAAACTGACAATATCATCCAATCCAATGATTGGAAGGCCATCGCGTATGTGTGGCAAAGCTCTACACTGCCTAAATCCGCATCTCCTCATATAGATGCATTGAATCTGTGTATCTTTAAGGGGAGAGTTTAGCGCCTCCATGCAGAGTGTGAAGGTGCTGAATGTCAGTTCTGACCAGGAAGCACCTCTATTGGTCGTTTGTGTGACTGCCACTGGAGGCGTCCCTAGGCAAAAATTTAAACACTTTCTCCAAAAAGGCAGTGTTTACAATAAAATGCTTGCATGGACGTACTATACACAGCAGAACAACTACATTAACCCCTGAAGGACAGAGCTTCAGAAGCTTGTCTTTCACTTAATGACAACAGCATTTTTTGCTGTTTGTGTTCAACTGCAATTTGCATTTGACTAATTTATTGCACCGACACATATTATATACCGTTTTTTTAAAGGACAGAAAGGGCTTTAATTTGATGTAACATTTTATGTGGAGCAATTTTAGAATTTGGTATGTTTGTCTTGTAAGCTTAATAGCCATAAAAGAAAACAAAATTGCCACACAAAAGTATATATTTATATAAAGTAGACATCACGGGCTATTTACCTAGGGTTGTTTTGACACATTCTAAGTAGCCATTTCACCGACAACCTCTGCTAAATATTGGAGTTTATTGCATTTGTCATATTTACAATGCTGTCAAATTGGTGAAATACATTTACTTTTTAAGATGCCCTGCATATAGGAGAATTCCTCTCCTCCAAGTCATAACTAGCAAAGTGTGACAGTAGAATAAGATTGTGCATATGTAATCTCCTTTTTTACTTCTAGATCTAGAAGCTCTTAGGAAGTTGATTCCTGAGATGGTAAGATTTGAGCCTACTTGGGAAGAGCTAGAATTCTTCAAGGATGGAGGAATCGCGATAATAGACCAGTGGATCTGTGCTCACGCCAGGTACTGGAGCTCTTCATGCACATCTGTAATGCAAAAATGACACCACAGCTCTTTATACACAATACTTATTTCAGCTTTTAAGTTGGTGGGTGTATGTGTGAATTTAGCTTTTTCATTTCTAATATTTTTTTGATAAACTTAAAAAAAAAAAAAAAAAAGAACTTTCAAAATATTTATTGTATATAAACAAAATATCGACAATGTCGCAATGTCATTGTTCTCCTGGGAATCTCCTGTTGAGAACCCAGGTATATAAGTACAGCAGTTTTCCCAATAAAGAGGTTCTCTACCATTCACTAAGTCTTGACAAGTGTTAGGGTGGACCAGTGATACTTGATAGCTGCACTGAGCTATAATAACTTGGGGATATGATCACATAGGGGAGAGGGGATAGGGGACCTTGGCGGCGAGATTCCAGCTTAAAGGCGGACAGGCCACCACTCATGCATGCATACAGCAGACTATGCAGAGAGTCAAATTTTCAATCTTGGTAGCATTTATACATGCCCCACTAAAACAACTGCAAAATTTCAAAGTGTGTTTTAACTTGTGTTGTTTAAACTCCCATGGGTTTAAACTCCTACTTAAAGATAGACTATTGTAGATAGACTGACAAGGAACCTCTTGGTGGGCAAGCTCTGTGAGTTGCTACTGTGGGTTATATAGGTGCACACAAAGTCACTCAGGTGAAAAATTAACCACCTGCCTAATTAACTCAGCTGAAAAGTTCACTAATAAACCCAGTAAACACATGCAACATTCACAATAAATAGCAATAGGTTATACTAACCATACTTTGGTCATAACCCCTCTGTCACAGTTCTATAAAGGGCTGGGGACGCAGTAAATTAAGTAATTTTAAAAAGTTCACCTAATAGAAGGTACAATAAGTGTGCAGAAATAAGTTGAGGCAGTTCCTAAGCCATACACCTTGCATTCTGAGACTGACTCTCTATTGCTTCCCATGTATGGGTAATACAATTATCCATTCATACAGTTAGACATGTCTTGAGCTAAGAAATTATATTTTAAATTTTTAATATTTTGAATTCCAGAACAGTAAAAAGGCTTGTTGCTGACATTACTTTCACTCATGGAGTAAAACCCCTTTCTGGTCATACACAAATTGTATGTATTTGGAACTGATACAAAGCATTTTTTTTTATCTTCATGTCAGATTTTTATGTCTTTAGATCACTCTATAATGTGCCAACAAATCTAAAATTCAGAATTAGAATAGTTTCAGTGCAGCATTTTTGTGGCTGAGCACCATTCAAGTTTGTATCTCTTCTCTTCGGAGGAAATAAAGTGCACCTCTCATGACTAGTAGGACTTAGAAGAAGAATTGCTTGCAAATGTGTTGATTTTAGAAAAACAAAGTAAAAAAAAAAAAGTACCCTTCCCACTCCTGTCAAACAAATTTCAGAGTTCTGCCATTTATGCACAGAATTGACTGATTGGAGATCCCTCCTCCGGGTTATTCTCCTGTTTTCTTTCACAGCATCTACTATGCATGAGATATAAGTGATGTGATTATTCCTTGGCAAGGGAGAGACTTTAAGCTTCTTATGTGTTGAAAGGGGAATGCAGGAACAGAATGACAAACCTCTCTATTCATTCCACCACCAATGTACTGGCAACGGAGCCATTGTGTTAGTGTCATAAGAGAGGAACACCCTGCTCTGGGAAGAGATACATTTCTTCTCAAACTAGTGCAGTCATACAGGGTTATGTGCTAAAGTGAGAATTCACATTTAAAGCATCACTGTCACAGTCAATTCGCAAAGTCCCCCGACAGTGACATCGCCATTGGTGGGCATGGGGGCAGGTAAGGGTGATTTTACTTAAAGGAAGAAATAAGAGGACAGTGATTGGCTATGGACTGGAGTGATGGCACCAACTCACACTGATCTCTGATTGGCTGGGTGGACTACGTGTTCAGAATAAGTCTAATAATGATATTGCACTGTAAAAAAGAGGGAGTTATGCTGCAGAAAGATGCAAATACAGTGTTTTTTTGTTTTTTAAAAGTAAAACGAAGGGTTCTGAGTGAACATTTAAGGTTGTATTGTTAACTTTTTTTACATTTCATGTTTCCCTCTGTGTACAGGTATTTCATAGGCACATCTGTGTCCACGTTCTCATTTCGTATTCATGAAGAGAGAGAGATCCTAGGCTTTGATCCAAAGACTACGTACAATCGATTCTGTGGGGACAAGGAGAAGAACTGTGAGCAGCCTACCCATTGGAAAATTGTATACTGAAAAAACAAATCGCTCTCAGGACAGTTTGCACCCAGAAGTAATGGAATGGAAATATAAAGCTGCTTCAGGAAAACCACAAACTCCAGTCTTCTGGTCAAACTTAAATCAACAAACCATTCTAATTATTCCATTTAGATACACATTATGTATGTGAATACCACTGGAAAAAGAATATTACCTGTGTTCATTACCTTACAGTCACTGTGTAACCTGTACAGTGTTACATTTAAATACCTCCATCTTTTTTGGAAAACAGAGGATGATAACATTTTTGTTTTTACAAGGAGTCAGATTGCTTTTTTTATACCTCAAATCTGTCTGTTTTTATATGTATAAAGCAATTAAAGTGTTCTGTATATATTTGTTAGTTTGCAGCAAAAGTTCTTTTCAGACCAACAGTGGCAGTTAAACTTTAGCACTGCATCACCACTTGCAAAACTTGCTTTTCACTATTTGCACCACTAGATGGCACAGTTTAAACAGACTTCATATGAAATGTATTTTTTAATTGAAGAGGAAATTGGAACTATAACCATTTGCAGTATTTTTCTTTTTGGTATTAAAATATCAGTTCTTGTTAATTGGTTAAACGTTGCTTGATCCACCTTTGCAAAAGCGGAAGTATAGAGAAATTGAAGCCTGTTTTTTCTGTTTTTGAACTTTAAGGAACATTATAGTGTAAGGAATACAAACTTGTAATCCTGACACGGTAGTCCTGAAATGACTGTTTAGATGACCAGTCCCCCTCCAATCTCAGTAAAAAGGTAATTTTACTCTCCTTTTTTTCCCACGCCGTGCCAGTCTTGTTTCAACTCCATGAGTCAGAACATAAATTTTGATGATCTCAGCCATATACAATGCTTAAAGGATCACTATAGGGTCAGGAACGCAAACATGTATTCCTGATCCTATAGTGTTTAACCCACCATTTAGGTGGCTTGCCCCCCCTCCTCTTCCTCTTAGGCCCCCTATAAAAATTTAAAACTCCCACATGGGAAAGCATTGAATTGGTTCAGACCGGCACGGTTGAATCAATGCATCTCTATAAGGAAAATTCAGCATCTCCATGCAGAGGTTGGGGACACTGAACGGCAGGGCTGCTTACTATGCAGCCCTGAGCCAGGAAGCCCCTCCAGTGGCTATTGGAGGAGTGGCCACTTGGAGGTGTCCCTAGAGGCGATGTAAACACTGCAGTGTTTACATGAAAATGCCTGAAGGCAATGAATATACTCACCAGAACAACTACATTAAGCTGCAGTTGTTCTGGTGACTATAGTGTCCCTTTAATGCTTTCCTATAGGAAAGCATTGGGAGGCTATCACATATGCACGGAAGTAAGCACCTCCTTTAAAAGAAATGCATTGAATCAACGCATCTGTATGGGGAACATTCAGCGTCTCCATGCAGAGGGTGGAGAACAACACCAGTGCTGCACATTATGCAGCACTGGACTAGGAATCGCCTCAAGTGTTTTGTTAACTCATACCTTGAGGGAATAAAGGAACGACAGAAAACATTATGCTGGTGTTCTATCCAACAAGATCCACTCCTACATGGCAAAGAATTGAGCAGTAAGACTGCAGTAGCATGATGTATACACCCAAACCACATAATTAAGCTAAAGTTGTTTTGGTGTTTAGTGTCCCTTTAAGGATCAATACCAGAATAATTCCATCATAACAAACCAAACTTTAAAACTAGTAAATCACAATGGAATGCTTCACCCTTCCCTGGGTGTGACCTCTCTCGTCAGTCGTATGGTCAGTACTGGTTGCGCCAACCGACAAACTCTTCACTTTACTGCTTTTTTTTTTTCCCCATCTTTCTTTTTCTTCTTTGTATCTTTTCCTTTATTCTTCTTCCTTGTTGTTCTCTATCCCTTGATATATTCATGGGATTAAAAGTGTATAGCCACAGATTTTTACTTGTCTCCCACGGATAATGTGCACACCTAACCTTTGAGTACACAGTCTACGATTGTTTTTTCATGGTAATATATCATCTCTGGATGACATTAAGGGGTTCTATTTTATGTATCCTTTTGTCTTTTAATATTTTTGTAAAATACCTGGTAGTGTAGAAACAAGGGCTCATTCTGAGGTTTAGCTCAACACGATTACTGTTTTTAAGCCAGATATTGCTAAATATGATGTATAATTTTGCTTCAATTGTTATCTCGACATACTGGATTTCTGTACGCTGTACCTTTTTGTACTACATGTCAGTCAAAAATAAAGATTTGGAAATAAAAAGTGACAGGGCTAAGTAGATCTTCAAATTCCAAATTAACAGGACCTTCTAAATACTGCCATCTCTGTAGTTGGCAGTCAGTTTGACCATAAGTGATCCTCCAATGAAAATCTGTTGCATGCTGACAGAAATTGCTAAACAGATTTCTCATTTCTAAGAAGATAAACAATTATTTGCTAACAAGTACAAGTAACCTATTGAGCATGGCCATCAATCTCTAATCCCTTAAGGACCAAACTTAATTTGTTTAGTTTTTTTACCTAATTAACAAAGCGTTTATTTGCTTTGTGTGTTTTCCACCACAATTTCCATCTTTCTCATTTACCTCACCAAAACATTGTATATACCATTTTTTATTTTTTTTTAAAGGACAAAAGGGGTTTCAACTAATGTGACCTATACATAAATTCTCATTTTTTCTAAAACAGATATACAAACATGCAACAAAAAAAATGGAAAAAAAAATACACCTTTCACAGTTTTTGGCTATAATAATGTTTATATAATTAGTGTATCTTAAGAAAAGTAGAATTAAATAAATGTATTATACACTCTGAAAATCAGGACAAATATGGCTAGGATTTGACGCCTCAACAGGAATCTGAGACCCCACGTAGGAGGGAAAGTAGACAAAACAAAAGTGAAGAGTGGGTACAAGTAAGGCCCAGAAATAGAAGGTATGGTGACAGAAAGCAATCCCCTCAGAAACAAAGGGAAAGTGATAAGATGAGGAGAAATGCAAGTCATCAGGGGGATAATTAGCAATAGGTTCAAGATCCTCAGAAATGACAATGTAGGGCCAGAATTTTTAGAGAGAATACCGAGGAGGAACCATTTTCCTATAAAACGAACAAGGAAAACAAGTTTCGGGGATGCAGAGAAGGAAAACAGAAGAAAAGAAAAAATACACAATCAGTAATTCCAATGGGCATAATATCTCCTCGCATTCCCTAAGCATAAATGAGATTAAGGTCCTCAACAAGGGCTTAAAATGTGTACCAATGAAGCATTTTAACACATTCTCTGCATATATTGACCTATTGAAATATAGTAGGAGACTATCTATTAAAAAGTTATTTTTAAACTCAAGTTTTAATACAGGACAGAAGGTGGAAGAAAGCAACGATTTCAAACATACAACTTTTCAAAACAAATCTAATTTTAACCCGAGTCATCTTAAACATGGAAGTATAGAGGCTTTTGAGAAGGCTGTTTTTAATGATTTAAAAAATATGAGCGAAGGAATAAAAATTGGAAGAGAGGGTTTTTCTTAGAGGACTAAGAGAAAATGATCAAATAATCATCAAACCCGCAGATAATGGGGGTAGTTTGGTGATAATAGACACTGAGAAGTATGTAGCAGAATGCACACGCCAATTGGAGGATACTGAGGTTTATTCAAGACTAAACGGAGACCCAATGGGGAAGATGAGAAAATCCTTGACAGCACTTTTGGATAGAGGAAAACTGGAGGGCATTCTAAAACTCAAAGAATGCGAGTTCCTAAATATAAAATCACCAAGATCCCCAGTCTTCAATATTCTTCCAAAGGTGCACAAGGATTTATACAACCCACCCAGGAGACCTATTGTCTCCGGGATTGGGTCTATTTCAAACAACTTGTCGAAGTATATAAATTCTTATCTTCAACCAGTGGTGATTAAAATAAAGTCCTTCCTGAAATACTTTGGATGGAAGGATGGGTACCACTTGGTAACCTGTGGTGTTACCTCCCTGTATACATGCATACTACATGAAAAGGAATGTGCAGCTGTCAAGTATTTCTTGGAACAAGATCAAACCTTACCATCTATACAAATTGACTTTCTTATAGATTGTATTACATGGACCCTGGAGAATAACTATTTTTGTTTCAACTCCTCTTTTTATCTGCAAAAAAGGGGAACGGCAATGTGCAGTACTTATGCACCCAGTTATGCCAACATCTTTATGGCCCATTGGAAGAATTTATTTATTTATGGCCAACATAACTGGAGTGAGCAGGTACGCGCCTATCGCCGCTACATAGACGATATGGCCTTTATTTGGGAAGGCCCCAAGGACAGTTTTAGAGATTTTTAGATTTTTCTTAATAACAATACTTGGGGAATACGTCGTACAAGTAGTAGTAGTACCACATTGACTTTCTAGAGCTTAAGATTTATGTAGAACGAGGAGTCCTCAAAACACAAACCTTCAAGAAACTAGATGTGAATGGATATGTTTCATACAACAGTGGGCATTATTCTCCATAGCTAAACAACATAACAAAGGGTCAATTACTTAGATTAAAACTTATCTGTATGGAGGAGGAAGTGTTCAAACAGCAAGCAGGTGACCTTCTGAACAAATTTAGGGAAAACAATATCCTGAAGGCATCTTAGAAAAAGCCCCGAGAGAAGTTAAACCAATCACACAAATGGAACTAATCCAAAAAGACATGACATAAATCGAAAAGATCAGGATAATTTTTTTTTTTTTATTTTTTTTTAATTCTTTATTTTGGTTGACAATGTATTGACATAATAACATTCTGGATTGTATGTTTTAACAATAATATAAGTTGAATAATCTTGCATACAGAAATATAATACATAATACATGAATTTGATACACTGTGTTGTGAATTTGCATGTCTGTGATGTCTAGTGGTGTATCGGGTAGTGTCACAATTGGGGCATTGTTAGACACAGGCAAGACCAATAGGTCTGTAACGATTTTCAGTTACCAAGACCGGTAGTTACCAAAGGCTGTAGTCTGTGGTGTCGTTATGCTGAGGTGTGTGTGGTTGCAGCAGTCGGTTGCGTCACCAGTGTAAGGTGAGGTGTTCAGTGTGTGGAAGGGAGTTTCCCTGGTTGTCCCCACCCATCCTCTGCTCCCTCCGAATTGCACCTTCAATAGTGTTCTACCTTATCTTTCTGTGTTTGAGTTGAGTGTTTTCCTGTGTTACAACGTCATAGCGGGTCGTAAGAGGATCTGTAGGTGGGGAAAGAAAAAAGAGGGGTGGGTGATAGGGGAGATAATATCTTGTTTACCTGTGATTGGATGGCTTAAGCCCACCAATCAGAGTGCTCTGAGCATATTTGCAGGGTGGGGAAAGGCTTTATAAGCCTTCCCCGCCCTGCAGAGCTCAGTCTGCGTGGAGCCCTCCATGGGCGAAGATGGATTATTATTTTTTTTGTGCTTGTTTTTTTTTTTGCATCGGTTATTATTGATTTTTTATTTGGCCTTTTTTGGGGGTGAAAAAAGATTTTAGAAGAAAGAAAACATCAAATGGTAAGCTTTATTTTTTTTACAGGTACTTAGTTAATGGCCCCCCTCATTATTTTTAGGGTGAGGGGGGTAGGTAGGGGTTAGTTTTTTTTTTTTTTGGGAGGGGGAAGTGGGGGCCAGGGGGGAGGACAATAGGTCCTCCCCTTATTGGTATTTAGGGCCCCCACCCGCCGCTCTGGGGTGGGAGCCGCAGGGGAGGACAATAGGTCCCCCCTTATTCTAAATTTAGGGCCCTTGCCAGCCGCTCAGGGGTTGGGGCCGGTGGGAAAGTACAGTAGGTCCCACCCCCTCATTCTTATTTAGGGTTCCCACCCACGGCGCAGAGGTGGGGACTGGGGGAGGACAGTAGGTCCCCCCCCATATTATTATTTAGGGTCCTAACCCGCCGCGCAAGGGTGGGGGCCGGGGGGAAGACAGTAGGCTCCCCCTTCATTCTTATTTAGGGCCCCCACCCACTGCGCAGGGGTGGGTGCCGGGGGGGGAGGACAGTAGGTCCCCCCCCTCAATTTTATTTAGGGCCCCACCCAGCGCCCAGGGGTGGGGGCCATGGGGAGGACAATAGGTCCCCCCCTTATTCTAAATATAGGGCCACCGCTCAGGGGTGGGGGCCGGGGGGAGGACAGTAGGTCCCCCCCTTCAATCTTATTTAGGGCCCCAACCCACCGCTCAGGGGTGGGGGCCAGCGGGGAGGACAATAGGTCCCCCCCTTATTTTACTTTAGGGCCCACACCCACCGTTCAGGGGTGGGGGCCAATAGTTTTGTTTTTGTTTTTACAGTGAGCAGCCACTGGCTGCTCACTGTTTACTAGACATACCGTGAGTAGGGGCTGAATTTACTAATACTAGGTAATCTTTACTTAGTATTAGTAAATGTGACTGAAAGACCAATTTAAGTCTTTCAGCCTTTTGGTAGATAGCTCACATGCTGCACTGGCCAATCACAGCCATGCCATTAGTAGGCATGGCTGTGATGGCTTCTAAGGGCACACGCGTCAAACGCTTGTTCATTGGCTGCCCTGCAGCTTTTCAAAACACACCGAACTCCAACCCGAACATACAGTGAAATGTCCATGTTCGGGTCCAGGGTCCAAAAACCGTAATGTCGGTACGAACCCGAACTTTACAGTTCGGGTTTGCTCAACTCTAATTACTAGGTTGTCCCTGCTGTCAGTTCCATTTAACCCCGGGGGGGGGGGGGGGGCGTGTCACCAGAGCAGTAAAGGTTGGTCTTTTTTACTCACTGCAATAACCATTTGAGTAAGTGATGATTATAAGTAAATAAAAGAACAATTTTAACAACACAAAATAGTTAACCTGACGCCTAAGAGGCTATGGGCTGAGAAAGTTCGTTCAGGTCTTGGTGCCCCTGCTTGTTCCAGGTGTTGCTGTTGGGTTTGCAGGCCCCTGTCGATAGCCTAGACGTGTTGTTGAGGCCAATGCTGGGTTCGGGAGTCCCAGTGCAGTCATCAATGCTGGGCCCTCTGTATGATCAGTGGCCTTGTAGTGCTTGTCATCTTTGGTGATCCAGTGTGTCCCTGGGTCGACCACCTATAGGCAACGCCTGCCGCTTGGAGTTGTTTGATGATTGGGTGCATACTCTTGCGCCATATCAGTGTGGCCCTACTTTTTTTGGCTTGTCTGGTCGGTAGGAGTGCGGCCACCAGGTGCCTGGTGAAGTGTGGTAATTCTAGGCTTTGCCGCCTCGGCGTCGAGTTTTGGAGCCAGGCGTCAGGAAAAA